ACACCAAGCTGCACAGGATTATTATAACACTGTTCAGAACAGCATCTTTCCTGTGCAGGATTCACTGGAAAGGGGAGAAGAAATACCAAACTGGACAGGATTCTTACAGTTATTTTGCAGAATGACCTCTCTCCTGTACAAGGAGATACGCAGTTTCCTGCATAGAATAAGTGAAAAAAATGAAAATGTTAAGAAGAAGAAATCTTGTTGTAGTGGGGAAGTCTTGGTGGGAAATCTTGGCATGGTGAGACTCAAATCACAGAGAAAGAGAAAAATCTGCAATTAAAAACATAGAGCAAAGTGTTCTTCCTATATACCAGCCATAGTGCTTAAAGCTCTGTCTGGGCATTTTATAATTTAATTTTACAGGCTACACATTGCCTTCCCCCCTTGAGTTGGGTACTCAATTTACTGAGTTAACCTTGAGCCCGCTACCTGAATCCGCTGGGATCAAACCAGGTCACGAGAAGAGTTTTCACTGCAGTGCAGCAGTTTAACCACTGTGCTACAAGGCTTATTATTTGAGTACTTGCCACATTCTTAGTCTATCTGGTGTCACAGTTATATTTTCCTTAGAAATAAACCATCCCCTCTGGAAATGAATGATTATAAACTACTTGTTAATGTGTTGTATGCCTAAAACCTTTTGTAGAACATGGAAAGATCAATAGCAGTATTTATCGTAAGATGCATTGATCTGGAATGAAAGATTGAGGCCTGTGTGAGGCTCCCAAATTGGAAGCCATGGTAGGAGTGCCGCTGCTCCAGAAGAGTAACAGCCAGACTCAGACATCCCCCCCGCCATCCCCACCGCGACGGGAAGAGAGAGGAGTGGAGACCCCCGATTGGGGGAGAGAATGCGGCGGAACCCTTACCTTAAGCAAGGGGGTGGATACACAGGACCGAGAGGAGGTTATGAAAGGGTTAAAGATCCCCCGCGAACCGGGGCGAGTTCAGGCGGGAAAAAGAGGGGAGGAGATAGAGGCGGGAATGGGGGATATAAGGGAGAGGGCGAGGGACATTCCAGGCGGTTGGGAGTGGGTCTGGATGGAGGACCCCTGGACCCATAAGTGGGAGCAGGTCCGGGTCCCCCATGAAGAAGCAGAAAAGCGCCGGCAACTGGGACTGAAACCTCGACCGTCCTACTGGTGAGAAACCGAGGCCAAGGAGGGGAGGAGGAAGCTACGAGAAGAAAGAGAGGTGGTCGCCAGAGAGTTGGAGCGTAAAAGACAATGGCACATCGCCGAACTGAAGAAGCTGGGGGGTTACCCGGTCCTTGGGGTACAGAAGGGAGGAGAGGGATCCTCCTGGGACGGCTGGAGTGGGGATGAGGAGACCTTACCCTTGATCTCCTTAGAAGAAGAGTTGGACCCTGGACTGGGACCTGTGCCACCCTCAACAGGTCCCTGGAATCCAGAGACTACGAATCCTTTTGTACATAGTTTATGGACACGCTTAAAACCTAGCCAAGGTCTTCAAACTTCCCTAAACCCCTTCATAGGGGGTATACCAGTTGATGTTAATGTTGAAATAAATACGACACCTTTTGACGTTCCTTCCATGCCTCGTCCGTTTATTGAAGAAAAGACAGCCCACCGCAACGAACCCTCACAGCCTGTAGTTCACATCTGAGGAAAATGGACAAGAAATGTAATGAAGATGTTGTTTGAGTGTATGAATATGCATAAAATTAAAATGTAATTTTCCCCCCTCAAACCATCTCTTAGACTACTGGAAATACTATATTTTATTTCACTTACTTTCTTGTTCAAAACAACATAGGTTCCCTATGTCCTTTTATGTAAATTCAAATCTTGTTTCTAGTCTTGAAATCTTTTGATTTTCATCTCTTTAAAATATTTTCCACATCTCTGCCATCTTGAATTAACTTGTTCTTTTTATGTGCCTACACATTTTATCTAAGGTTCTGCATAATATACGTAGCTACATATTATGAAGCAGTATGAACCAGTATTTCTTCTCACTACTTGTTTTCTTAAAATCGTGATTTTATGTATTTCTATATTTGTCTTTCTTGACCAGTTCTGTCCTAAATGGAGCATTGCTGACCAATTTCTTCTTGCGTAGAAGGTGGTCTGTATCAGGATTTGTCACAAGTAGATAAGGTTCTGCTTTGAGATTATGAGGGGCTTTGCAGTAGATAATCAGGGTTTTCTGTTCACAATTTAACAATCAGAACATTAATAGGCTTTCCAAAATTAGGCTGCTAAAATGGGGGTTGGGGGTGGGCAGCAGCTCATATTTGTGTGTAACTGTGAACTCAGTTCTGGAATGGAAAACAAAAAGGCACCTGTGCCTTTAATTTGAAGTTTATTCCCTCTTCTCCCCTTCATTTGTTTTGCATCTGCCTCTGGATAGTGAATCTCGAGATTCAGGTTAGTTATGTAAATACATCATGCACTTTCGAAGTCTGCTTGCCTCTGATCTATATTGCTAGTAAGATTCTCTTGCTTTGCCATTCACGTTTTAGGAGTGCCTGGCCTTTTTCTTGGAAACATGCATATTGTACTCAGACTGCAGATACGCCTTTATGATTTATAGCAAGTGAATTAGCCACAAGTTGCCTGGAATGATTGTGTTCATTGATTGCAGCAGGTCTTCAATTTAAACTGTGGCACTTTTGTTGAAATCTTTAATACATTGCACTAATGACAGTTTAGATGCTATGGCATTGCGAAGATTGGAATGCAGTTTGATTTCACAGGAGAGTCTCGTAGAATAAAAATATTGCTTTTTTTCCAGTTAACTTTCAGGCATCTTTAAATCATACTAGAATTTAGTTGTATGGTGCCTCAACACATCAACCACTCATTCCCAGGGTAGGACAAGTGCCTCCCCAAACTTCTGGTGGGAGGTGCCCCACATCCTCATGCACAAGCCGCCCCTGCCTGAAATGCAGACACAGAAAGAAAATGATACATATCCTTCATTCACCAACCCTAAAATCAAGTATCAGTAACTTCCAAGATTAATGTGTGAAGTCTGCAGTATCCATAGAATGCATTTTTCCTTTTATAGTATCCCTTTTGAAAATTCCACATTCTATCCACAGAAGTATGTGCTACGTTTCATGATCTTCCCTAAAAAATAACGCTTCTTTCTTTTCCTTCATTATGTACAGATATTATATCTGTATTTACAGCTTGTTTCTGCCATACTCACTTGGCTTCCTTCAAATGCCAGAATGGAAGAATTGCTCCAGCAATTAAGCAGCTGAGGAGAGTATGGTTATTGTCCCATCTGCAAATCCTTTTATTTTGCTTTTGTTCTGGTAGCAGTGTGAAATTCATTGCTGCATGAATTGTTCCTGTATCTGGAGCATTTTCAGCATCTCCTGCCTCAACCATACCATCTTGCAGAGTGGATAAAAATCATTGTTTTAAAAAAATCAATTTAAATCACGATTTAAATTAAAAATCAATTTTCAAATTTAAATTGGCAAAAAAATTGATTGGTGTGATTTAAATCAATTTGATTTAAATCACACCAGTCAATTTTTTTGGCAATTTAAATTTTAAAACTGATTTTATTTTCAGTTGTGATTTAATTTAAAAAACCCACCCTGCCATCTTGTGAATTCCTTTATTTTAAATTATGTCTGTATTTCTTCAGTGACATCTACTGCCATGATGACATCTAACCTGATTTCTGTTTGTTTGTTTTTAAGTGGGGATAGAAGGGAGGATGCTTGTCCCCACTGTTGTGTTATATGGTGATTTGGTGTATCAACTCCTCCACCTGTTGGTTCATGTGGGCCTACTCTAGCTGTGACTTACTGTGCTTAGCAACAAGATTTCAGCCACTGATACAGTAAAAACAATAGGTGGTGCTTTCAGTCTTGTCGTCTAAAAAGAGGCAGTTCAAACCAAAAGAGATAAAGTGAGAAAGGGAAGCAAAAAGTGCAAGTTCCAAGGTTGAGGATCCTTGGATTGGTAGAATGAGTTGTGATTATTTGTTGTCAGGTTGTGACCATCCTGTTTGATTTATGGCGACCCTAATTGGATTATCAAAGTGTGTGAGATACATACGGAGTTGTGTTACCCTTACCACCCTCAGTACATTTCTGAGGCTGAATGGGATTTGAACCCCAGTTTCCTGAGTCCTTGTCCATCACTCTGTGCACTGTACACATTAGTGTTAGGGAAGGGCAAAGCCCAGGGGAGCATCCTGCTGTCTTTCCCATCCTCTCCCTCAGCCTTGTAGAATGGCTGCTGAGTTAGATATTTTATAAATAAGTATAGCAGGAGGAGGAAGACTTGAGAGATTGGAAAGCGGTCTTTGGAGCACATCTGTTCTCCCTCACTTACACCCCTCTGCTCCTAGCTGTAGCATCTTGTCTATGGCTCAGAGGCTGTAGACAAATGATAACCCTTGTTTAATATTATGTACACACTTGTGCGTAGCTCAGCTGCAGGGCCAGAGGTTGGGAGTTTGATTCCCTGCTGTGCCTTGTAGGAAAAAAAGGGCAGCTTGTTTAGCCTTGGGCAAACTGCACCATCCTAGACAGCCCTCAGAAGAAAGGAATGATAAACCAGCCATCAGTATTCTCTACCAAGAAAAGCCTATACCAAATAAAACTTGTGTGGCTTATAAAAGGGGTCAAAGGATTCTTATTGATTAGAATTGGAAACTGGTGTGCAATTGTTTTAAAATAAAAGAATCTATTGGGGGTATGGCAGGGCACAGGATATGTCGCAGCACAGGAGTACACTATTTGCAGGAAGGTCACAAATAATGCTGCTTTTGTCTGTGTGACCAGATGTGATCTTTATTTGTGACATCTAGGATAGCACAGGAACAGGTTGTTTTAAGTTAATCCCTCTGCTTTTTTGCTCTCTTCTCAGGTTCTCTCCCATCTGCCACTCCTCCAGTTTTCACTCTGCAACTCAAGACAGAAATGTGCTCAGAAATAGAGCACAAAGTTTCTTAGAAATTGCTTCTGGTGTTCTGTGAACAACTGTGTGTTCTGTTCTTTTCAGAGGGACGGATGTTGATCCCGGACATTCCTTCCCTGTCCAGCAGAGGGCATCTGGAGAGCACATCTGATTTAGTCGTGGACTCCACCTACTACAGCAGCTTTTACCAGCCATCGTTGTATCCTTACTACAATAACCTCTACAACTACTCTCAGTACCAGATGGCTGTGGCCAGTGAAACCACCTCTGGAGAGATGGGGAGCCCACTGGTAGGATCTTCAGTTAAAAACAGCCTGCGAAGCCTCCCAGCAACCTATATGTCAAGCCAGTCAGGAAACCAGTGGCAGGTACTGGGTATATAAATAACCTGAGAGTGCTATAGACCCACGGCCTTATTTTAAAGCACTAGGGTTGCTTAAGGTTCTGTCAGCATCATTGGAGTTGCCTTAGCATCATGTTACACTAGTACAAAATCAGGCGTGTAGGCGTGAGATATGATATTGGGCAAAACAACTTTTCTTGAACTACAACTCCCAGAAACCCTTGGCTATGCCAGCTGGGCTGATGGAAACTGCGGCCCACCCTTATCTGAGCGCTCATCCCTTATTCAAGGGAGAGAGTACATAACGTTTCATCCATTGAACCTTTTTTTTTAAGATGACGGTCTCTGTTTCTTATGGTTCCACACCATACTCTTACATGTACAGGATTTCAAATCTCTCTGTGCAGCATCCAGAGTGACTTTACGTCACAATTCTTATGGTTCCACACCATACTCTTACATATACAGGATTTCAAATCTCTCTGAGCAGCATCCAGAGTGACTTTACATCACAAGACTTAAACACATTTCATGGTTGTCGATACTTTATAGTTTGCAAGGAAGTAGCTGGTGAAAGTATAGCGGTGAGAGGGTTGGACTAGATTCGGGCAGATTGTATTTCAAGTTCACACTCCGCTGTGACGCTCCCTAAATGATCTTGGATGTGTCCATATTTTCTCAGACTGTGCAGGATGGAGGATCATATAATCTGCCTTGAGAACCTTAAAGGAAAGATGAGTACATTTTTACAGAAGCATAACCTGATATGTAAAAAGGAAGACGTGGTCAAAACTGATGTAAAATAGATCAGTAATAAGCTGAATAATAAGCAAGTAGTCACATTGTATTTATAGGCAGTATAGGTTGGTGTTTTTGCATTGTTGGGCTTAAGATCTGCTACCTTTTCTATGTTTAGAACATCCCAAGTTCCCCCAGACCTACCGGAATGGCCACCGGTCACCCCGAATGAGGTGGAAGAACTTATTAATACTTTGAAACCTGGGAAAGCCCCAGGTCCTGATGACATTCCAGCTGAAATCCTTATAAGCAACCCCTCATGGTGGTCGGGGCCTTTATCCAACCTATTCACATTAATCAACCATTCAGGTCTTTTCCCTCACGCCTGGCTATCCTCAACTATTGTACCCATTTACAAAAAGGGTGACCCTGCCTCACCAAACAACTACAGACCAATAAGCCTCCTCTCATCCATTGGGAAGCTTTATTCCAAACTATTACTCAACAGACTCACAACCTGGGCACTTTCAAAAGCCCTCCCAGGCAGAGAACAAATAGGTTTCCGCCCAGGTGCCTCCACAGTTGACCACGCCTTCACACTATCCTTTCTCGCGGAAAAATACTCCGTTCATTATGGAGCCAGATTGTACACGGCCTTTATTGATCTTAGAGGAGCGTTTGACTCAATCAATAGGGACATACTGTGGAAGAAACTGTCCAATTGGGGGATCGACCCCCGCCTTCTCTTCCTGATCCAACGCCTTCACTCTTCCAACTCGTGCCGGATTCGCCTCGATGGCGCAGGCTCCATGACCGACGAAATCCCTATCAACAAAGGAGTCCGCCAAGGGTGTATACTTGCCCCTTCACTTTTCAATCTATTCCTTGCAGATCTGCCTCCCGCTCTTCCTAGCTCTGGAACCTCCCCTCCCTCTCTCAATGGTGTCCCTGTACCTATTCTTCTTTATGCAGACGATGCAGTGCTGCTGTCTGTCACTAAACCTGGCCTCCGACTTCTGCTATCCTCTTTCCAAGAATACTGCTTCTCCAATGAATTATCAATCAATCCCGAGAAAACAAAAATCCTGGTTTTCTCGAAATCCTGGGCCCCGACAGCCTGGAAGATTGGTAATCTATCATTCCAGCAAGTCCAATCTTTCAAATATCTGGGGATCCCCTTCCACTCCCGACTCAGCTGGACTCACCAT